CACACACACACTCACACACACACACACACACACACACACACACACACACACGAAATCGTCTTCCTCATGAAAAAAATTTATTTTAAAAAAGTGTAGTTAATATTTGCATCATTTATGATTTATTTTATCCACCCGCAAATAATCAGGATTATCCGCAGCGCCCGTGGATATAGGAAAAGCAAAATATGTTTTCTGCGTAAATCAGACGCACTTACTGAAAATGCAAATTCATTCTCTGCCAGCAGGAGGTGCTTTAAAGCAGGAGAAACAGAGGTTTCCCCAGCAACGGTTGTACACAAAGCAGCGCTGAGCTCACAAACGCTGCTTTATCAGGCATATAACATGCAAGATGAAATGAAAATGACATAGAAAATTTTCTAAAGATAGTCTTCCTTCAGAAATACAGTGATATTAAAACACCTGCGCCTCGTTTTGATTTTTAAACATGCAGTACGTGGTCATGTTTATTCAACGAAGCCTTTTGGAAAATCGGTCAGTTTTGATATTGTGGCAAGCGCCACAAATAAATAAGTGTATGGGAAACACATCCCACACTACAACCACCTGAGCCCAACTTCAGTCTACTGTAACGTTTATTATTATTTATTAGCTCTAAAAAGGGGAATATTTATGATGAATTATAACTGGTTATGATTCATAATAAATATTTAGATTATATCTTCGAATTAACTGTAGCAGAATCAATATTACAATTATTTGATCTGTCCGTCCACCGAGCAGACAATATAATCATTTATCAATTCAAGGAATATTTATTTTCTGGCCACGGAACAATAAACTGTCCTTCTGTGTACAGTGCTAGCAGTAATTCAAAATGTAGCGAGGGTTCAAACATTCATTGACTTGGAACTGTGAGCAGTAAACAGAGACAATCCGTTGTGAATATAAGGGATTTAATAAATGAAACTATATCTAACATATAACTAACTAAAACATATATAGCCTATACAGAATGAAACAAAGTAAGGAAAAGAGAGAGAATAGAAAAGAATGGCAGTATTTCACATCACTTAACCACAACCATGGAAAATCATCAAAGAATCCAAAAATCACCTTAAAAGGGACTGAAACTTAAACACGCATCTAAATAATTTTAAGCGGTTACTTGCATTGGGTTCGATTGCTGAAGAAGAGTCCTGATGCGGTAGATAACGGAGCTCTTTTGATGAGTTCGTGAGGAGTCAGCTGGAAGTTTTTACTTCTGGTTCTTCTGAAGAAGAAGTCCACAGCGACTAACGTTACTTGAAAGTAAAAACTGCCGGAAAATAAAACTCAAGAGGAAGGTCTTGAGAGTCCTGAAAGGTGTTGTCTCAAACGAAGAAGAAGTTTTCTGAGCAAAGTTATTTTGGGCTGATCGCTTTTGAGAATTTCTATTCTGTGTGTACTGGCCAATGAGAGACATGGATTTTGAGCGGGAGAATCGTCTTTGTCTCTTGTTTTATGGCTCATTTGCATGCTTTATGGCCGGTCTGGAATATCCGTAGTTTTAACCCAAAATATCGTACCAGTCATATGATGCGTTTCACAATCACATACTGTACGTCATTGCCCGAGGGATGAAGAACAGGTAACATTGATACCAAGAAACAATAATCTGGAATAGATTAAACCAAAGATACACACATACACCTGAATATAAGTGTTTTATGGCTTTAACTAATACAAATAACGAGTGGTAACTCATCTAATCTAACAAAGGGAATGTGCACACCACATGCATATACCAGATACAATTATAACTGATTAATTATAGTCTAAAATAAAGAAATGTCTTTATGTGTGTGTGTGTGTGT